CCACAGGGCCGAGACGCAGACGGCGACCGCGAGCAGCCTCGCCATGGGCCCAGCTTCCTGCGCGGGGGGCGAATGAGGACCGGTGCGGACGAACGGGTAGCGACTTCGAGGCCAAAACGAACCAGCGGCACGCAGCTAGTTTTCCTGGCGCCTCCCGGCGCCGGCAGACGGGCCGTGAATGCAAGAAAGCGCCCCTCGGCGGAGACGCGTCGGCTGCATGCAGCAGATGTCGTCGCCCCCCTCCTTTCCTGATTCCCCCGCGGTCGCCCCCCGATTGGAGGAAAAACAAAAAGGACGAGAAGCAGGAGGGGACAGAGGAGGAGCAGGAGGAGGATCGAGGAGGAGAAGGGAGGGAGAAGCATCGGATGGAGGAGGAGTAGGAGGAGGAGGAGGAGCAGGAAGAGGAAGAGGAGGGAGGCAGGGAGGGAGGGAGGAAGGGTAGGAGGGAGGGAGGGAGGGAGGGTCGTCGTCGTCGTCGTCTCCCTCCTCCACCTCCTCCACCTCCTCCACCTCCTCCTCCTCCTCCTCCTCGTCCACGGCCTCCAGCTCCGCCACGTCATCCACGGGACTCAAGACTGCGGATGGCGTCCTCCTCCTCCTCCTCTTCCTCGTCTCTGGTCAGCCTCTTCCTTGTCCTCCTCCAGCGATGATTCGGTTCGCCAAGTCGATTGTTCCCACACCTTCGCATTCGTTGAGTTTTGTAATTCTCTATTTTCCTTTCTCGTCCTCCGCCCCTCTCTCCCTTGGCCTCCTTCCACCTTCGCTTCTTCGGTTCGCCCTGGGCTTGGCTCGGCTCCTGGATCTCCAGCCCTCGTTGTGTTTGTATTGGATCGCCCCTCGCGCATGGTGGCCGCGCGACAAACACATCCTCCTGTTCCTCTTTCTCCCCACCTCCTCCTCATCCTTCCTTTTCTGACTTGATTGCGTCGTACATCTATCATCACCACGGCGTCAACTTTGCGTGTCTCTGGAGTTCTCACAGCAGGAGAAGGGAGGATAAACAGAATATTGCCGATTCGGGGCACGCAAAAGCCTCCGCAATCGTGGTGTCCTCCGCAGGGACCAGAGATCCGATATCTTGACTTGTTCAACGCACCGGGTCCCCAGAATCCTCGACCCTCTCCTCAGGGCCTGCTTTGCATCCTGGGTCGAAGGCCGCGCACAGCGAAAATCCTCCGTACGAATCTTGTTCAATACGTTGGAGGTCTGGGGACCTCTGGAGTCCTCTGGGGGATCCCTGGCAACCACGAGGAGGAGGAGGAGGAGGAGGAGGAGGAGGAGGAGCCAGAGGGCCAGAGGAAGCCCGCCACATCGAGGACGAGAAGGGAGGAGGAGGAGGAGGAGGAGGCGGAGGAGGAAGAGGAGTAGGAGGAGGGGGAGGAGGCCCTCAGGGTGCACCCTTGAGGGGTCTGCAGGCGGGCAGTCCGCTTCTTGCTCGCCAGACGTCCTCGCGTCACGAGAAAATCACAAACGAAAGCTCATGGGCCACTTTCAGTCTTTTGGGGGCCCTCACCTGCCTCCGGAGCCGTCAGAAAACAGCTCGGGATGAAAGGCCCGGGTTTAGACTCGAGGAAACGCAAACGTGGACTTCCGGCACGTGGGTTAGCAAAGGGCCCCTGCGGCGGGTACATCAGCCACATACGAGAAAGATACCTTGCTCCAGGCAGCCTAGCGGCACATCCTTCATCGACCCTGAGCTTCGCAGGCTGCCCCAAGGCTCAACAAGCCGATCTGGAGATAAGAGACTGTCGTGGGGCGCCCAGTACCCGCCGTTGACAGGACAACGTTTTATCGTGTGCGGCCAGTGTTTTTCCCCGGTCCGTGGATCTGGCGCCCACGCGCCAGATCCACGGATCCTCAAGTCACGTCGTCGTGTGTCCGGCCCGACAGACCTCTGAGGTCCACGCGGTGCAGAGGTAGCAGAACCCGTCGGAGTCCTGGGTCCTCCGCCCCCACGTCCCCGCCTCCGTCTCCCTTTCAGGACCACTTGCTTTGCTATGCAGTCAAACTGCTACCACAATGAACGCGCGATAAGGAGCGAGGCCCCACTTCGGCCCCAGGGAGCGCCCGGGTGCACGAGGGGCGCCGAGGGAAAAGGAAGCCCCTTGATCCGAACTCGACCCAGTCCTCATTTCAGCGTCTTGACATACTGCAGACGCACCAGCGAGAGCATTGCTGTTCAAAGGCAGCAAACGTTCTGACTGCACGCAAAACCACCGCCAACGCTACCGAGGTTGCGGCGACAACGTGGACCCGTTGAACGGAGGCTCTGTGGTGGTCATCAGATACGGCGAACGCACCAACAAAAACACAACTTTGCAAATTATCTGAATAGAAAACATGTCGATAAGGCAACTCATACCCCTGCGATGGTCAAAACAAACACCCTAGGTGATTCAGTTTTCCCAAGCCAGCACGACATTAGGGGAACGAGAAGAGAAGTAACCATATGATTTCACTACAGAAGATGACTTTTGACAAGCGCGTTCCACGAAACGCAAAGTAACTACTCGCAAATGGCCTGGATCCGCCGCGGGGGACTTGTGATCCATGACGTCGAAGCAGACATGTGTACTCCGGACGTTTGCGATTAGGCACTTTGCGAGCAGTGGACCGCGCTCGGTGAGACTTGGAGGAGACAGAAAGGGGGAACGAGGAGGACGGAAGAGTCCCTGGAGGCTTCCGTCGCCACGGCTGGCGCAGCCCAGGCACGTTCTGAGCAGAGTTTGCCCGAAGGCCCAGGCGACCAACGTTTTGAAAATGAATCGGGCCGTTGTGCTCGCAAACGTCCACGTGTGCCTGCCTTTTCGGGCCCCGGCACCGTAAGAAAACTACCTGGGCGGAGAAGTCGGCCCTGCGAAAGGAGTCGAGCGGCCCCGAAGTCCACGTCTCGACCAAAATTGAGCCGCCCGATGTCTAGAACGTATGCTCGACCAGTGTGCCTACATGACTCTTGGTCCTCGGGGCAGCAGGCTCATTTGAAATAGCTTGCGACACATTAACCCCGAACTGCCTACAACATTTACGCCCTCCTCGCTGGGACTAGAAGGCTCGATATACAACATTTCACCAGTCCACGGGCCTATTGGTTGGAGGGCGCCGGGGGGGCAGCGTTGTTCCCAGGGCGAGATCCAAGGACGCTCGGCCTGCGTGGTTGATCCGTCAATAGCAATCCTTACGACCCCCATTCGCAAGGAGCTCGGATCTTAGGCTTGCTCTTACCGACGATTGGGCTGCTTAGGTCTGCTCTTACCCTACGAGCATTGACACCTCCTCCGTCGTCCCAGAAACATAGATCGCGTTCGCTGCCCCTCAATGGGATTCAACCTATAGGGTCATGAACGGGCGTGGCCAAAATCCGGTGCCACTGCGTGCCACTGCACAGAGCTGACAATCCCCAGACCCCCGACGTCACGCCTTCCAGGGCTACTCGCAGTTGATGTCCCTATAGGCAAAGTGACCTTTTCATAAACGGTTTCCGAGGGCTGCGGAGGAACCAAATTCAAGCGCGCCAGCCAGTGCTGGGGGGGACCACTGCTGGGGCGTGCGTAAAATACTTCACTCGATTTGGGATTGTTCGCACGTTGCGTCGCTCGCTTCGAAACAATCGCACACGTCCTCGAACGTGAACTTGCATTCTGCATCAACCGCCCTCAACCGCACGCACGGCGCCATAGTGGTCATGCGCTGCCTTCCCCCCCTTCCCCACTTGGAAATGTAATACTGGTCGGAAGAGTCTCGGCCCGCAGGCCGCGAGTTCAGGTTTGCACGATGGGGGGGGCCAGGACGGGCGAGGGGGGCGGGTGCGCTGTGCCTTTTCTTCATCATCCGCTTCAAAGCACCGGCACGCGTTCTTCAGACTTGACTTCGCACGCTGACGAAAACGCGGCACAACAATCGTGCGCGATTCATCATTGCATCCAGATCTGACATCTAGGCATTTTCAGCGCAAGCCCCAGTGCGGGACCGCACAAAGGGTCACTCCGACAAAAAGTTAGCCGACCGACTTCCCTGGGGCCGAGTGGCCATCCTGGGCAGTTTTTGTTCATGGTCCCAGGGCTCAAATGGGCACCCAGCGTCTTGGAACCTGCACAAAGGCTTGACGTCGCGATTTTAGTGACGCTAGAGGACTGCGAACCTCACGCAGCCTCGTCTCTACCACGGGGTTGTAGTGACCGAACATGTGCCCCAAACATGATCCGAATGTGACCGAAACCGGCGCCGAACTTTTCCCGAATGCGCCAGACTGTGACCGAATGTTGTGGTTCGATACAAACGTGACTTTCAATTCCGGTTACAATTTCGGCCACACCACGTTTTCGGTCGCAGGTTCGGGCACATGTTCCGTCACCGATTTTGACTGGCCACTTACCTTTCCAGCTGATAGGGGCCGGGCGCCATGACAGACCTCCCTTCAAAATCCATATCCTCAACTAGCAACGAGCTTATCCATATCTCTAAGACTACACACCAAAAAGGCGATGAGAGTCTTGGGGATACGCCCTCAGAAACTGCGGGGATCCCGATGATCGGAATCGAGATAAGGCGATGCCAATCATAGGGATAGGGATGTGCTTCAGGCTTGTAACCGCTGGACCTGCCCATGAAGCGCGCGCTTGCTCGAACTTAGAGGCGGACCCAGCCGCGGCGATGGGGGCACGCCAGGAGGCCCAGAACTAACAGAAACTCAAGCAGGCAAGTGGCACTGCGACCCCTGCCCAGCTTTGTGGGGGGACCCAATTGACCCGCACCGCAGGTCACTCCAGCGTTGGGTCACTGTCACATGCAGTCGAATCCAGCCTGCGCCCCCTCCTCGTCCCCAGGGCACAAGTGTCCGTGGCCAAAGGTGCCATCGGCTTTGCGATCCACTCCGAAACCCAGTGGGACACTCTGGTGACCGAGAGGGGTGCTCTGGGCACTGGGGGCCTCCTTGAGAATCTTCGGGGCACCGAAGGCCATGCACACCTCTGGGAACACTCGGTCCGACGCGATCTGGTCCTCCCCTAAGGACAGCATAACCCTCCCCCACCCCCAGCCAGGACCCACTCCCGACCTGGTGCCCCAGGGGATCCTGACTGGGGGTGGGTGTATGCTTTTGTCGGGGGGCTCCTGGGGGGAGGCATAAAACACATTCACTGCTGGCCATGATCCCATGGATCACGAAGTCGGGAGTGGGGGTCCTGACTGGGGTTGGGGGCGTTGTTTCTTCTTCTGAAGACCATCCCCCTCCGAGCTAGGATTCCCGGGGGCACCAAGTCGGGAGCGGGGGTGGGTTGTTGAGGGGCGACGATAGGAGGGGGCAAGCTCAGGGGGGGGATACATCGACCTGGAGTCGGCGACACACCTCCAGGAACCGATGGAGACATCCGAAAAACACCTGAACCTCGAGCCCTCCTCCTCCTCCTCCTCCTTCTCCTCCTCGTCCTCGTCATCGTCCTCCTCATCCTCGTCCTCGTCGTCTTCGTGCTCGTCCTTCTCCTCTTCCTCCTCCTTTTCCTCCTCCTCCTCCTCCTCCTCCTCCTCCTCCTCCTCCTCCTCCTCCTCGTCTCGAGCCTCGAGCCTCGAGCGAGCACCTGAGCCGATTCCCCCCGAAACGTTGCCCCTGGAGGCTGTGCCATTCCCTCCTCGAGGGGGCCGTCGTCCTTCTGGCAGGAGGGCAGCGCGCAGGGCAGAGGTCCCACCTCGTGTGGCTGAGCAAAAAAAAGCTCGGACGCCCGCGACCGATGTGCGGCATGGCGGGGCAAGCCGCTTGCGCGCGCAGCAGCAGCAGCAGCAGCAGCAGCAGCAGCAGCAGCAGCAACAGCAGCAGCAGCAGCAGCGGCAGCGGCAGCGGCAGCGGCAGCGGCAGCGGCAGCAGCGGCAGCGGCAGCAGCAGCAACAGCAGCAACAGCAGCAGCAGCAGAAGCAGCAGCAGCAGCAGCAGCAACAGTAGATTACCATCGCTTGGGCGTCGCTTGAGGGGGGTCGATAAATGGGGGGGAGGAAGGTGCACTTCTCGGGTCCTAAAGTCCCCCTGGGGGCCCCATAGGGTCCCTTAAGGAGCGCTGGAACGCCCCTTTCCTGCAGCCCTCGCTGCCCCCGCATGTACCGCCCCCCGCCCCATAGCGCGACGCCCAACCATCGCTCGGTTGCCCATTTCTCTGGTATGGTTCGGTTTCGTTCCTTTCTGTTTTCGCCAGATGATTCAGGATGCTCCTCGATGGTCCTCGGCGAAGGAACACGCACACGTCCGAGCGATCCCCAGGCATACAAGAAAGAGAAATGATCAATGCCAACCTGACGGGTACCCAGACGTAGGGCCAAGCTGCTGCGATAAGGAGCGCCACATAAGGAACGAAGCCCCTCCTTGGCGCCGGGAGAACCTGCGAGGCGGGCTGGAGAAACAGCCACGCACTGACCCAAAGAGCAGCGAGCCCCTTCCGACCCCAAAGCGGTCCTCATGCTTCTCGGCTGTTGGACACCTCCCAGGGGGGGTCCGAGCAGAATGGGGTCGAAGGGCCGCGTCACATCGCTGGTGCATCGGCGATGCATCGGCAACGTCGGCGATGCATCGAAGACGTCGGCGTGGGGAAACACGGGCTCCGCATCGAGCCGCATCGCCTTTGCATCGGGGATGCGGCGCGATCCTCCGACCCCAGCTACCCTGACCCCATCTAGGAGGCCTGGAGCTGCGCGGGGCGTAGACCCGCACATATGATTCGCAATCGCAGCGCTTCCCTTCACCTCGGCGGCAGAGGGCCACCGTCGGGCCCAAGGACCATCCAGCACTGTTCCGGGGATGCCAGCTGACCCCCGGGGAAGGGGTCGTCGGGGGCTCTGGGGCCGCGGAGAGCGAGGCCGGAGGCGGGCGCGAGGGCGCGAGGCGGGAGCGAGGGCGGGAGGCAGGGAAGCGGAGGAGCGGGAGAAGGAGGAGGAGGAGGAGGAGGAGGAGGAGGAGGCGGAGGAGGAGGAGGGGGGGAGGAGGAGGAGAGGGCGGAGGAGTACGGCTGGGAGGAGGAGGAGGAGGATGAGGAGGAGGCGGAGGAGGAGGAGGAGTAGGAAGGAGGAGGAGGAGGAGAAGGTAGGAGGAGGAGGAGGAGGAGAGGTAGGAAGGAGGAGGAGGAAAAGGAGGGGGGGAGGAGGAGGAGAGGAGGTGAGGAGGGAGGAGGAGGAGGCGGAGGAAGAGTGGAGGAGGATGGAAGGGGGATGGAGGAGGAGGCGGAGGAGGAGGAAGGAGGAGGTAGGAGGAGGGGGAGAGGGGAGGATGGAGGAGGAGGAGGAGGAGAAGGAGGATGCGGAGGAGAGGAGCAGGGAGGAGTGATGAGGAGGAGGAGGAGGACGAAAAGGAGGAGGAGGAGGAGGAGGAGGAGGAGGACCTGAGGAGGAGGAGGAGGAGGAGGAGGAGGAGGAGGAGGCGGAGCGTGAAGGAGTCCAGATCCTAATCACTCTACCCTTCCTCCCTTCCCAGTCGCGCCTGCTCCACGATGGAGTCGAAGGAGGCTCGGCACAACAAATGCCTCTGACGCCTCCGCGTTGGGAGACGCGTGGCCAACCTCACGGCGCCTATCAACTGGTCGGCTTGGGAGAGGGACAATGGAAGCGAACTCTGATGGGACGCTAAACGATGTGTGTGATAACACGCAACAACAAAGGCCAGGGATCCGCCTCGCAGACCAAGGAGGAAGAGAGGGTCCCCTGGGAGAAATGAGCGCAGAGCCATGGAGGCGATATACTGTAACCTGCGGCAACTACATATATAGTGATTGACGTTATCTGGAGCATCGCACCCGAAGATGCACTGAGCATCAAGCCGGGCCATCGTGCGACTTGTGACCCATGACCCAAGCCACGATCTGAGAGCAATCTGGGACCACGCGGGGGGGGGGGGGGGCAACTGCAGCAGCCCCATCGTGGCGTCCTCTATCCCTTCCCAGTCGAAGGAGGGAGCGAAGCGACGACGGACACGAACGAGGATGCGAGCGGGGAGGGAGGGGGTCGGGTACAGGGCAGCCTGGAAACAAAGCTTAAACTTCCCCTCCCACCGCGGTCCCCCTCTCGCTTCTTGAACCGTGGGGTCCCGAAACACATGCAGGGCAGCCGCTCCGCCCTGAGTCAGAGCGCGTTGGAGGAGACGAGAAGGAGGACGGGCGGAGAAATCGAAGGAGGGAGGACGAGGAGGAAAACCTAGTGAGGCCCACTCAAGGGTGCTAGCGATAGACTCGGACTGCCAGAACTCGGGGGCGTGCCGCGGAGACTGCCACCATGCCGCGGGTCCATGGGAGACCACGGCCGTTCGCAAGCGTGCGATCTGAGCCTGCCATGTCGAGAGTGTCGCCAACGAACACCGCATCAATGCGGCCGCATTCATGGAAAGGATACTCGGCAAACGAGGTAGCCCCCAGGAGTGGAGTTCGAACCGCTCCGGGTGCGAGACTATCGTGCACGGGGCGCGCATAAGTCGAGCAAAAAGCATCCTCTCACGTACGGCCATGGCCCGGGGCATGAAGAACAGTTGTGCTTTATAGGAGAGCACGGGTAAGGCACGCTGCACATAAAGCTCTACGCATCTACCAAAATGGGCTCCTGAGCTGGCAATCTCAACGGTTCTCGACAGGAGCTTCCGGGCGGGTCCACTCCACTGGTCCAAAGAAGTCGCCGCGGGACCGAGCCAGACTCCTAGATAGATCAATTTGCCGACGATGTTAAAGGCAGCCCAATGGAGGGAATGAAGCGGAGGGAGGGCGACGCCGACTCAAGAGGTCCATCGAAAGGGACAGCATTGCACTTCGACGTTTTGAGTCTTAAATTCGCAAGCATCCTTGCAAACGCAAATACACGGGCTAGCACGAAGTATCCCCGCCGCCTCCACACCACAACCCCCACATCATCAGCGCATGCCCGAGTGCAACCACGCTTCTTGGCGTCTACATGAATGGTGATATCTTCGAGAAACGGGTTAATCGCAAAGATGAAGACTGTGCCGCTCAGAGGGCATCCTTGCAAAACCCCTGAATGCATTCAATAAATGAGCTCAAGCATGCACGCGACGTCAAAGTAGCAAGGATTCAGGCGGTAGAACACAGACACTGCGAGGAGGAATCCCGACGGCAGCCTGTGACACCTAAGACTCATGAGCATCCACTCTTGCCTCGCCGAGGGGAAGGCCTGCGCAAAGTCGAACGACAGAAGCGACGACGGCGACATAACAGCCCCAAGATCAACGGCTATCCCCTCGGACGGCGCGGCACGGCCCCTCTGCGCCAGAACGTTCCGGGAAAGGTCCGCCGGAACGTTCTGAGAACGCCCGCTGGAACGTCCGGATCCGCGCGCGTCTCCCGGCCGCGGGCGAAATGCGCACGAATTGATGCTAGCCATGCGCGCTACCGTGTCGAGGTCAACAATGTTGTTAACAAAATTCCGCCCTGGGATGAACCCCCTCTGGCATCGCGCTGCCAGCCCGCGCACAGCCGGGGTGATCGCTCGGTTTAAAGTGCCCCCTAAAACTTTGTTGGCTGTATTTTTCAAACCTAGCGGGCGAGTGTGCCCGGCAGATCTGGTGAGGGCCTCGAGCTCATCGGCTTCGCCTGCAACTTGTTTCGGGAGAAACACCGCTAGCGATTCTGAAAACCACGAGGGCATCGGGCCGCCAGACATAATCCAGAGCAGACAATTGTAGAGAATCTGGGTTCCATGACCCACTCGCCAGGCCCGGAAGTGAAGACCATCGGGCCCCGGGGCACTATCGGAGGAGCGAGCGAGGAAGGAGCGGAGGAGCCGAAGAGTCGGGGGAGGAAGGGAGGAGAAATCACGGCTGGATTTGAACCGCTCAGTATGTCTTTCGGCTGCCCGTGGAACGGGCGAGCACTCCTCGAAGACTGGGCGCCAGTACTGCGTGAGAGCCTCGAGGTTACCTGCAGGGTCCACCGCGCTCGGCTCTGTAGCGCCAGAGCCTTCGGTTGCCGAGGTGATGCAGGCCAAATATTTTCGCCGAGGTGATGCAGGAGGAGGAGGAGGAGGAGGAGGAGGAGGAGGAGGAGGAGGAGGAGGAGGAGGAGGAGGGGGGAGAGGTGGAGAGGTGGGAGAGGGGGAAGAGGAGGAGGAGGAGGAGGAGGAGGAGGGCGCGGGAATGCAGGGCTGGCGCGGCGGATCCGCCACGGCCTCCCGCCGGCGCCCTTGCCGGGGCCAGGCGTGGCCCCCTCCTGCCCGACACTCGGGGGCTGCTGAAGGTGTCCCTGGGCCTCCCACGGGGGCTGGGAGTATGTCTGGGAGCTGGGACTCTGATCGACGAAGGAGACTTGCTGTTCTGCCGCTATCCTGGGCCATGCTGGGCGATAAGTGGGTCTCTCCTGCAACTGTCCTGCCACCTTCCCGCGCGTCGCCGAAACAACCGGTACTGGGTACCCGTCCCGGTGAAGCAAAGGGGATTGAGAGACTGGCGCACAGAATAACACAATGAGAGAGTACTCACGTCTGCCAGCGTGGGCCCCTAAAAGGTATGTTATTGCACTCTCGGTTTGCAATGCTTGTGATGCAACCTGTATTGGTTACAACCTACGTGTTACAATCTGCGTCCCTCCCATATCCTCCTCCTACCCTCTGTCCCTCTCCTCCTCCTCTTCCTCACCCTCCTGCTCCTTCCCCCTCCCCCTCCCCCACCCCCCTTTTCCTCCTGCTCACCCTCCTGGTCATCCGCCACCTCCAC